TTAATAAGCCTATTAAGTGTTATCTTTTTATATAGCTTATTTAGAAAACTGACAAGCATTTTTCCTTAATCTGTTTAGATTATTTTATATTTTTTGTCTATATTTTCTTCTATTTGTCTTTTTTGTGCCTGTTCTCAGTCTTTCTTTTTTTTTTCTTGTAAAAATTTCCACCAACTTTTCATATCTTCTATCTAGGCATGTGACCAATGTTTTTGTAATTTTGGTAGCTTTGCATCTATTTTATTGCCTAGTGCTTTTATTTGTTTATTTGTCTTATTTCTTTCTTTTTCTATTACTTCTTGGTCTTTTTTTGTCTTTACATATTTAATTAATCTTTGTATTTTTACAATATCTTTTTTTTGTTGTTGTATTTTTTTACTAGTTCTTTTATTTGCCATTGTGTTGCATATTCTTTTTTTAGGTATATGCTTATTTGCTACAGTAATAATTGCTTCTTCTAATGTATTCCATATACTATTTATTTTATTTATATGTTTCTTCATGTCTTGTACTTCTGTTCAAATATTTTTTAGACTTTCTTTTGCTTCTAGTCACTTTTGCAGCTCTTGCATATAATCTTCACAATTTTCTGGTTTTGCCGATCATATAAATACAGTGTTTTTGATTGTCCTTTTCTTTTAACTTCTGCTTTGTTATTTTTCTTCATCATATGTTTAATCTATATTTCTGCAGTTGTTATTTTATAATCACTATTTGTGATTTCTTCTGTTTCCTTAATGCTTGCTTCTTGTAAGCCTGAGGCCAGTTCTTCTGATACCCAAATATAGTTGATTCTTGTTGCTATTTCTTTGCTTAACTATATGTAATTTTGGCTTGTCAGGTGCATATTTCTGTATGTGTCTATAAAGTCTTGTTTTCTCATCTAGTTAAAGATTAGTAGTTTTTTAAAATTTTCTGATTGTGTATGTTTTTTATTTAATATATTGTCTGCTATATAATTAAAGTCATCCATAATCATAACTTGTATTTGTCTTTTTCATTTTGTAACTATTTTTACAATCTTCTGTTGGATGTTTTTTCCTATTGTCTTATTATTTGGTGGTATATAAACTCCTATTATTACCAACTCCAATTGTTTGAAGAATAATATGATCTCTATTATATATTCACTTATTCTCTTGACTGCACCTACATGCTTTTTCCATTGTTCTTCTATTAGTATTTCTACACCTGAACCTTTTTTCTTATTTTCTGCTACATTTGTCCAGTACCCTATATAGTTCTTGCTTGCTGTATGCATTAGAAATCTTCTTTCTCTTTTAGTAATATTTGTTTCAGTAATTTCTAGTATTGCAATTTCCTTTTCTTCTATCCAGCTGAGCAAATTTTCTAATTTCCAACCTTTGGCTTTGAGTCCATTGATATTATAGCATGCTAATTTTATTTCTTTCTTTCCTTCTTTTTATTTCTCTTTTAGTAGTTTCTGTCTTGTTCTTATACTTTTAACTTCTTCTTTTCCTATCCTGTAACCTTCTTCTTTCTGACAAAGAAATCTAATTTCTCTTTCTTTCTTGAAGACTTTTCTTTCTTTTTACAAAAATCCTTTGATTTTCTTGTCTATATTCATTAGTTCAACTGTGGTGTCCTTAGGAGCATTTAGGTTGGTTTATCTTATTTTTCTCTCTATCTTCTTCTAGTCTTTCTAATCTTTTTAGTATTCATCCTAAGATATTTTTGATGTATGAAGTTCCTTCTTGTGGTTGTGATTGTGGTTTTTTTTTTTCTTTATCTTCTTTTGCCTCTGATCTTTAATTGTTAAGTTTTCTCTATGATGCTCTCTGTTTCTATCATTATTTCTGTTTTTGTTATTTCTTTGTTTACTTTCTTTTCTTCAGTTATATTTATATATTTCTTCATTAGTGCTTTCTTTGTTATCATCTATTCTCTTATACCTTGTATTATCATTTTTCTTTCATTCTTTTCTTTTCTTTCAACATAGTTCAACCAAAATAATAGATGATTGTTAAATCTTATTAGCTTTATTTGTGTCATATTCATTTCTTCATTTGTTGCAAATGTTATTGTTGCTGATCTTCTTTGATTTCCATTTTTGTTAAATGGAATATATACTGATTTTGCTTCTCTTTTCTTCAAGCATCATAATAGTAATACTTCTGATACATCACTTGGAAGTTTTAAAATTTTTGTTATGAATCAGTTTTATGAATTGTACTTGTTAAAGTTTTCTTTAGTTATGCTTACTCTTGTCAGCCTATGTATTCCAAGTGGTAAGGACCATGGTATGTTTTCTTCTTTTATATTTTCCATCTTAACAATAGCTAAAGCTTTATATTTAGATCTTCTAATACATTTAATTTGAGTTTTTTTAAGGTTTCTACACATGTATTCTACTTCTTCTGTATTGATGTTTGCCACTAGATCCTATATTGTTAGGCATATGTATGATTCTAATTCATCCTTTGCTAGGTATGCATTTTTATTATCTTCCTTTTTATTAAATTTCTTGTATTCTTTGGGTTTATTCTTGTCTTTTCTACTGTTGTTTACTATATGACAGCTTAGTTTCTTTTCTTGATTTTTTGATTCTTCTGAAATCAGTTTAAGCCAATTCCCTTTTTTTTGATTCTATTTATTGCTGCATCTTTACTGAATTCATAGTCAAAATCTACCTCAATTCAACTGTTCCTATTTTTGAAAACCTCTTTAATTGTTTTAATGCGATGATTATCATATAGGATCTATTATATATATTTTAGTCTTTCTTTTTTATTTGCACCTGGTATTGCATATGTTGATATATTTGCTTTGAATGATTTGCTCTTGTTACATATATGATTTGTTGAAGACCACTGGCTTTGTTCTATTGTGTCTATAAGTATTGGCATTTCATAATTTTCTTCTGTTATTAATCTTATATTCTTTTTATTTTTATGTACTGTTTTTTTTCTTTTCGTTTGTTATAAAAATCTGATACAATTGATTCTCTATATAATGATGTTGATATGCTGAGATCTTGCATTTGGTTGATAACTATACTTAGGTTTGTGCTAACTTCTTCATTACTACTTATTTCATATTGTTATCTCTTCTTTTCAACATAAGCTATATTCATGTTTTTCATATTTTTATCTCTTTCTATTCCTTCCATTTCTGCTTTCTCTTTTGGTATTTCTTCACTCTTCATATTCAATAAGTATTTAAATAATTTTGGGTTTTGATCTACTGCTAAAAGCTTATTTGCCTATTCTTCTATCATACTTTTTGTTAATGAAAAGGTTTCTGCTCTTTTGAGTACTTTGAGTACTTGTCTATAAAGAAGTACATCACCTATTGTGATATTTTTTGGGTCATAAATTGCAAGATCTTTTGTTATATACTCTAAATTGTTAGAGTTATCTATTCTCTTTGATAAAATTTCATCTAATATTCTGCTGTCTATATATCTTCTATTTCTATCACCAAAATCTCTTATATGTTGTATTAATTCTATGTCACCTGAAAGGCCTAGTCTGCACTGTATTTCTGTTTCTATTTTAGTTTGTTGTTTTTCTATTTGCTTAGTAATATATATAAAAACTTTTATTTATTATTTTCTAATTAGAATAGTATCATCATTTGTGTAATATGCTGTGTTTGTTGTTGTTTTGTTATCAACTGACTATGTGTTCTGACTATTTGTTTTCAGGATCTAGGATGAGTTTTCATTTTTCCAAAAATAATAACAAAATTTTATAAATTTTTCAAGTCAGATTAAAACTAATTAAGAACCTTATTGAAGAATACTGTATCAATATTAGTGTATTGATAAAGAACTTGTATTTCTTTATGTTAAACCTTTCTTTAATAGCTTTGTGTAGATTTATTCAATCTGTTTTGTTCTACTTCTATATGCTAATTTTGCTTATTGAAGTTCACCAAAGATTGGTTTCCTTGTTGTTGCTTGTTGTTGCTCTAGTTTATTTCTTGTTTTTAAGTTGATTAGCTGTATTTCTATGTTTTCTATCTTTTTTTTTTAGTGCTTTATGTATTGCTTGTTTGTGCATTTTAATGTTATTTTATGTTTTTGCTTCTTGTGAATTTTGGTCGAAAGATCTACAAGGAAGAGTTGATCCATATCTAACCTCTTATATAATTCAAAACTTACTTTGTTTATTAAATTAAAATAACTTGATATTTATTATTGTTTTCTTTAAAGTAGAAAAAATATTACTACAGCATAATAAATTTTATCGAACTTAACATTAATTTGAAATAAAATTCCAAGTATCTCTAACAGTTGTAACTACATTTTAAAAGTATGCATAAGGATTTTCTTCATACATGCAATGTTAATTGATTTTCGTCACATGAAAATAATAGCGAATCACAGCTTTGAATTATTTGCCGATCATCACGTGATCGGCAACACCATTCGCCACCACTAATCTACTTGGTGAAGGGCTTAATAATATCGTCCACTACATTTTCGAAGCTCCACATTCTTTTTTTTATAATGCTTGCGTATTTCCTTTGAATTTGTATTTCTATCACATAGTTGTTGAATAATTTTTGCACGTACATCTTATAGACGTGCATCTTATTCAACTGAAAAACGAGAAAACTAAGCACTGTTCTATTTGGCAGATACTAATCAAAATTATATTAATCAAAATTTTGCATGCTGTATATAATCGGGTTTATGATATACTTAGAAATCAGGTCTCTATTTTGATTTAACGCTTAAATTTAAATATGTAAATTTATTTGATCTTTAAGTATTGGAATCTCGCATAAGAACAAGTTCTGTAATTAATGTATATGCAATTATACAGAGAACTTTATAGATACATATAAAAATTTGTCAAATATATAACATTTTTCATGTGCATAATTGAATGGCATAAACTGCAACCAAAGACACATTTTATAAAAAAAAACATATTTACAGCAATTTGACTTCATAACTTGCGTTGTTTTCTTGTTGCAAATATTGATATAGTGTACTGCATAAAAGCTTACATATTCAACATTCTACTATGTTATTCAATAATCTCGCTGATTACATCCTGATTTGCATGAATTTTTTTAGCTCCCTTCGCTCCTTTCTCACTACGCTTCTTCTTGATTTCTGGATACATGGTGACTAAAGATGTTCTCATATTTTCAAATTCTCTCTCATTCAAAAGCAGTTGATCAGTTGTTGAAAACGCGTTTTTTACATCAAGACAATCATATAAAATATCCAACTCATATTTTGGGCGATTGTCACCAACAGATCTTTCTTCCATCAGAGAATCCAAGATCTTCCCTAATTTGATCATATTACTACGGAAAATAGTAGATTGAACTGACATTTGTTCTTTTGAATACTTGCATATTTCTTTCATATAAGTGCTACCTTTCATATGTTTATCCAATTCCCATGATGCTATGAAATCATTGTCTCTATTTTGGAGGACAAGAACTATGAATTCATCATAAAGGATTTTGATGTCTTCAATCAAATAATATCGATGTAATTCATACTCTTCAGTATAAGGAATCTTGTTGTACATCTTGATATATCTAAGTCCACGAATTGCTTTTAATGGAATCTTTTTCCACGCTTCATTGAAGTCATTATAGCTATTAATATATATATATTAATATTTGTCAGCATTCAAGACGTCTAAGGAACACTAATATGGTAAGCCAATTACCAAATTGTTCTTTCTTTCAGGCATAGTTTACAAAATCGTTTGCGGAAGACCCAGATAATTGATGAATAAACATTCTTGCAGAATTGGCACTTATTGTAGAGAACAAGGCTAATGTAATCTTGCTCGCACATGTCTACGGGTGGCGGTAATTTAGGATGGCATAAAAACTGCTCACGTGAGATGCGCCAAATAATTTGAGTCGTACTGGAAGTGCGTGAAGAAAGGCAAAGCCAAAAGGATCGGCTTACTGAACTTAGTACTATCAAATCTAATGGAGCGATATTTTTACATATTTCAATAAAAATTTCGGATGGAATATTATTGAAATTCTTTAAAGAAACCGATATTAAAATATTAGTGATGAATTGAAATTTGTGTAATCATTATTTTTAATAAAATCTTACAGAGAATGAAAATGAATCCCCAGTCCAATGTTCTTCTACCTCCTGTCCATCCATTTCTTTCAATACACATTTATTTGACTAAACGTCTTAAAATAACCTAAGAATTGTGCTTACGTGATGTATATATATGTATATATGAATTAAATACTTCATTTGAATATTACGTGACATAATGATTTTATACATCAAACTTTAATTTGCTATATGAAAATAAAACTTTAAATGAAAATCCGTGGTAAAATTTTTGTATACGGGATCAACCGATAAATTTGAATTGCTATAACGATAATATCATAATATTTATTTTATATTTATAAACTACAGGTGAGAACTGCCAAATCTGGGGGTCCGTTAAGCCAGGTACATTCATATAATAATCTAAATACTGCATAAATTGTATTCTAGATATCGCATCAAATAAGTAACCCTAACTGGTACCTGGCTTTAACGTTCCCTCATATTTGGCAGTTTCTCTCCTCAAATTTCAGGCCCAAAAAACCTCACGAGAACTGAAATCAGGACCTTATATCTAATATTCTGGGTGTATCAAAAGTCCTTGTACATGGATGGTTCTTTTTTAAATAACTTTATATGGGTACCCTCATGTCAATCCGGGCTGAAGGTCAATAAAATCACAGGATCTCGTGTAACAAAACAAACGCGAAAATTGTAAGAAATTTTACTTATAAGATTGCTTTAAAGAATGGTATACAGTTTCAAACAAAATTACATGTTAATAAATAATCAACAGTTTTATGTTATAAACTTAAAGATACTGATACTGTATTTTGTAAGATAAAGAAAAAAACTATAGAACAAAATTGTTAATGTTAGATATTTATGGAATTTTTGAGACACTACGACACATATTTCCCGGTATATAAAGTTTTTTTAAAAAAATACCATGTACAAGGACTTTTGATACACCCAGTATAATCTATAATAAAAAACTCTATTTATCTTAAAGCTGGATCCTAACCCTAATTAAAACTATATAGATATTATATAACATAGGTGTTATGAATATAAGATTTCTTTATTTTAATAATTATTTGTAAATTGTAAAATTTAAATAAAGTTGTATTTTTAATTATTTTTTTATTTACAAGCTAAAAAAAAAAACCATTGATTGATTTCTAGTCTTCAAAATGTTAAGAATATACTATCGTTTTAAAGCAAACTTCATTCACATGAAATTAGAATCACTTTAAAAGAATCAATCCTAGTGCCAAGGCCAGGGATGGCAAATGATCTAAGATGACCCAAATGACAAATGACTAGTCATTGGGTCATTTCGAAGCCTAAATGACTTAGAAAGTCATTTAACAGATATTAATTAATCTTCTAAATACCTTTTAACCAACCAAAATTGGCCTCCGAACACAATCTATTAGGAAAATAATAGAGCTCGATAAATTTTATGAGCAATTCGACCAATAAAATTATTCTATATGCAAATGACCTGAATGACCTTAATGACCCAATGACCTGGTCTTTATTTGATGACTTGGGTCATTTACCATCCATGCAAGGCGGATACCAGGATTGCACAAGACCAAATCATTAGCTAACGCTAAAGCCTGGCATTAAACATTCATGTAATTTAAACCACCAAATTGATCAATCAGAATGTAGAGACCAGGATGTAAACACTTGATTTTATTTATAATAGACGTAAATTAGCCAATCACATGAATGCCTTATAAGAGCATATCGTTTACCTTAGGATTCGCGCTTAAGTTAAAAGGGATTACATGAGGGCAGAATTACACCTAAAGAATAGTTTACTAACCTAAGTTTCGAGATAAACGCGATTTTTGCAAAGCGAGCGTTTGTTTTGGATTGTTTTTACGTTACACCTGATCCCGATTTTTAATTGGATAACTTACGTCTGATGTGACAAAATTTTTCTCATACTTTTGCAAAGATGGCAAGCGAACAGGATTTTAGTAAAATACTCAAGGATGATAAAAAGCAGGTAAATAATTTTATGTAAATATTTAATGTCATAAATAAATTTATTTAATGTTCATATAATTAAATTCTCGACTGTTTAAATGACACATACTAGGCGCAAATTATATCATGGGAAACAATTGGGAAATCCAATTTAAACCGATATACTGTTCCTCCGTATCTATCAGAAGCTAACGTATCAACATACGAGGCTGTTTACTATGAACATTTTCATCATCAATTTTCATGTGGTAATTTAGGCGTTGTTGTATCGCACGAGGATATAATACAGGTAAAAAATATGATTTTTTGTTCTTGGATAGATTAAACATTAATTATTATACCATGCGTATTATAGGGTGTCTTACATCTGATTATTGGAACACCTTCAAATTCATTTGTTTATGACCCACTTCACATGAGATTTAATCCTAAAGTACCAAATATTCGTATACATGGTTGTAGCGCTAAGAGTATGAATATGTAAGCTTTTAAACTTTAGTTTGTCATTTACCAATTATTTAAATACATTAATTTATTTTCGAATAGGATGATGGGTCGATTTTTAAATATGGGTTCACATATCAGACGTTTGAGTGTTGTTTCTGAAAGATGCATGAAGGCTATATAGTATTTATCACTTTTTCCCTGCTTAAATGGTCAACGTTGTTATTACTGTAAAAAAAAAAAAAAAAAGAGCAAAAAAATTCTAATCAAGATACACTCTTCATATTGCATATTTGAGTATATATGGATTGACTGGTATTGCGTTTGGTCGCTCGCTTTCTTCTTTTATCACTTTTATACAAAAATCTATTGCTTCCATCGTTGAAAAATCTGGAGGGCAAAAAAATATGAAAATTATTCATTTATATCATGCCATGGATGATGTATCGTTGATAATTGAGAGGATTGCTGCATTTTGTCGCTGCGTAAGTGCTGAACTTAATTTTTTTTTTAAACCATTAGAAAATATATTTTCTGTAATTCGTTAACCTTAAAAGCTAAATGATATTTACAGGATGTAGCGGATTCAAGAATTTCAGAGCTTTCATTAGAACAAAAAGTGCAAAGAGATGAAGAAGGATTTTATTTGCCTTTTGGGACAAAAATTTTATCCGAAATTTATACTGTAGCAGAGACAATTGATTCAGCTGGATCACCTTTCCTAAGGGCAGTCTTCTTAGCATTTTTAGAACAGTCAAGTAAACCATTTTTCGAAATGTTAAGTTCTTGGCTTGGAATACGATCATCACGTAATTCCTTGCCTATAGATGCGCACGATGAAGAGTTTATGCATTCAAAGGAATTCTTTATTTCCAATTTCAAAGTGGATGCTGTTTCTGTGAGGGACAATGGTGATGAATTTTGGCGAGGCGGTATAGAAGTAGGTTTCATTACATGTAAACAGTACTTATTTACAAGTTAATTAGGATCTTTAAGGGTGTACTTCCCATATAACTTTATAAAACAAATTATGGTCGTACTCTCTTCATGCCTATAAATTAACAAAAAAATTAGACCTGATAAACGCGTACTGAGAAAAAAAAAATTCATTACATTTTTTTTTCTTAGGTTGATAATGAATATCCCTTACCAACATTTATTAGTTCCGTGATTGCACGTCATGTTCTGGAGGCAGGAAAAGCCTTGAGGTTGCTACGTGACTGTAGACCTGACCATCCCTTATGTAATTCGGGTGCTGTCTTAAGCCATATGACTGATAAACCTATTTGGGATCTAAATATGAAATTTCTATTTATTCAAGGAGACATTGATGAGTGGGTGTATTATATTTGTTTAACAACGAATATTTGTATATTTAGTATATATTCTTATTCTTATTTTTATCTAATAATAATTAAGAATGCATGATCAACTTAATGACTATTTACGCAACATGACTATCTCCATAGTTGCTCAAGATGAACGGCGAAAATCAGAAATCGCAAAAATCCATGATTTTTTTCAATGTAAAACGGCAGAATGGAACCAAAACGTACGTCAATTACAATTTAGATGTTAACATCAAAATCGATTATTTCACATCTTAATCATATTATTTTATTGTAGGCTGATTTACAATTAACTGAGAATATCACCAATTTCATAACATCAGATTTCTCAACCGAAGATCCCACCATAATACTCATAGAACGGTTTTTACAAGTTCAATCGTCGACATCTCCCTATTCTCATAAAGAATACATTCTTCCATTAGGGGCAGTCACAGATCTCGTTCTAAAGCATGCACTTATTTGTCATTGTAGACTTATAGACGCATCGATTCTATCCATATTTTTTCACGATCTTGACCTTCGTGGTCATTTGAATGTATTACGGGAGTTTATGCTTATGGGTAATGGAACTTTTGTTTCTGGATTAACTGACGCTCTGTTTTCTGACAATATTGATTACGGAGAAGATTTTACGGCTAACAGTAATTATGGATCGAAAATTGGAATGGGACTAAAGCTAAATAGCCGCAAAACATGGCCGCCTACAGGCGTTGAATGGCGAATGGCTTTAAAAACTGTCATTACGGTAGCTATATTAGAAAAGAAAAATGTAGAAAATGATAATTCTCAAGCAACAATAGACGCTTATGAGAAAGTGAATAATCTAGATGATCTTTTGATGTTTGATGTTAAAGCAGATATGGAACATTGTAAGGATCCTAATGGTGAGTTTTAAATTGTTGAAATTATTGAAGTTGTAATTGTTAATTGATGCTTTTTAATTTTAATTTTATAGCATTAGAGGCATTGGATTCTTTTTGCCTTTATTATAAACCTCCTTATCCTATCAATGTGATAATAACTCAAAGTTCACTAAATACGTATAATCGTTTATTTGTATTTCTTTTACGAGTATTGCGGATGGGAATTGTAATTCGTCATATCTATCGGCTCTTGCACGATCGGTACCTTTTGGATGATAAAGATACTGCAGAAGACAAGAATCTTGCGCAAAGATTCCGGTTTGAAGCGCAACAATTTATTACAGCACTTCACGAGTATGCATTTGATGTAGCAATATCATCTAATTGGAAACATTTTATGAAACGTTTGAATAAGATTGCGGAGGAAGCAAAATTTGAATTACCACGCGAACATTTACTGAGACAAAATAGTACTAGTGATACAACGAGCCATTTAGACAGTCAATCAGATACTTTTTCTAATGATAATACGGAAGATTATGAGGATAATTATGATGACGAATATATTAGCGAAGGCGTTAAAGATCTTGAATCATTACGTGCATGTCACAATCAGGCTTTAGACCGTATGCTTTGTCAATGTTTACTCGTAGAGAAACAAGAACCAACTATGGAAGTTCTTAATAGGACTCAAACTATTATACTGGATTTTGCGCGAGAGTTACAATTACATCGTTCTCATACTCATGATGCACCTATGCGGCGGGAGCATTGGAGAAAAATTAAAAACCTATATGATCAATTTCGTTTGGCTAGGGATGTTATTAGGGATAGTAAAGTTATTTTAGGTTTATTTTAAGTTAGACCTAGTTTGGTTCAGAATCAAAATTTAAAACTAGATCTCTATATGTTGTAAGATAAAATATATTAATAAAAGTTAATTCATATCAAACTTTTAGAATATATGATATTTTAATCTTCCGGATAACTTTCTAATATTGATTTATTTAATAAATTTTACTTTCATAAGGTAATATGACGTGTTGGTAAAGTGAATCATAGGTTAACACGAAGTCTATCAAATAGTGTTTATACCATTCAATTGGCCTCACCAAAGATCTTTTTTCTTAACATTATTGCATCCTTTTATATTATTTATTACACGAAGTGATAGTAAAAAGGTTGCATATCGTTAATAATAATAATGAGTTTTTACTTTTTAACAAAATCGATAATTGAATAAAGTGAATACCTTAAGAAATTTATGCATATTCCATAAAATGAATTTATTAAAAGTTAGGCTTCAAAATTAAAATTTGTTTTATTAAAAACTAGTATACAACAAACCCATTTTTTTCTATCAATTATTTAAATATAATTTTTATAAAAACGTAATCAAAAATTATAGAAAATAAGTTTAACAAATATATTTTTAAATTTTAACAAAAAAATAAAGTTGCAAAGATAATATTAAACTAACTTAGCAAACTAAGAGCAAAAAAGAATTTCTGATAAGTTACAAATAAATGATACAATATTTTTAGTCTTTAGAGAAAGTCAATTGAATTCTATAAATATTAATTTTTCTTTACAAGTAATTTAGTATAGAAAACTTATCCAAAAACAAAAAATTTGTTATAGAAAAATTTTTATATTTATAAATTTGAATTATTCTATTTTAGATACTTATATATAAAAAATATTAAACAAGTTTTAGCCTAGAAACATATTAATGATTAAATTCATCAGGAAAGTTATATATATAGATATATATCTATTACTAACCATCCAGATATATAGCGATAGTAATCACTCCTGCTAAGTTTCATTGATTTTGATTATAATCACTATATAGCCAATTAATATACACATCGATTTATATCGTTTTCAATATTAATCGATATATAGCTGAAATAAGCAGTTAATGTCGAATTAAAATAATATCATATCGATTAAATAAATGCACTATTGTATATATTATATACTATACATTGAATTTATTTTAGAGTCCAAACTATTGAATTTATTAAACCAATTTTGTTTATAATTTTATTTACAATTATATTTAATACAATTAAAATGTAAAATAAAAGCAATACATGCAATACAAATAACAATTACAAATTACAAAAAGAAAAAAAAGAAAAAAGACAAAACAAAAAAAAATGCTAAGATTCGATTCCAAACAATTGATCCATATCATCTTGGGACATTTGCATCATGTTGCTTTGTTGGGATGATGGTTCTGCTTCTGATTTAATGTTGTTTGGTGTAGTTGCATGGGATCTTTGGTCCTCATTATTCGTAAGTTCATTATTAGTTAATAATTCAGCAGATTTATAGAATAGGCCGTCACTAGTGAAATCATTTTACAATAAAAACTTATTAATGTTTTTTGATACAAATTTTATACGAGTATATATGATAAAACTTACTAGAAAGTGCTCCATGTGTCATTTCATTTTACTCTCCTTACATATTATGCCTTTTGATTTGGAGTTCAATAAGATATCACATATAGCAAGTGTAAAAGCATAATGTTCATCAGACAAGGTGGGTACTGCAGTTGTAGAGAAGGCCGACCTTGCTATTACAGCTACCCAAAAGCACTACTTTTATTTTACTCAAAAAGAGAGTGATAACAACTAGCGACTTTCTTGCTTTGTTTCCACCTTACTATGTCGGACATCACAGTGTTACTCTTTAACAGAGAGAGCCTCTTACATCCAAATACATGCTAAATGGCAGATCTAACATTTTGCAATGCAGCACCTCGAAAATTTTTCATTTTTTGTAACAACTATCATATATAATTATAATGTATTAATTAGTAACATAAATAAAATAAGTAATCTAAAAGATTATAAGAAATTATGATGATTATAATCAATAAAAAGTTATAACATATGGAACTAGACCATTCAGTGTGGAACCAGTTGGTAAATTCATTTGTGCTTATATTTGACATAAAGTCAGGATACATTTCCTTCAGATAATCTTTGAGGGATTCCTTAAGGGTGCTTTGGGAGGAGTACATGTCTTGAGGGAACAAGTGCTTTACAATGTTGGTAAACACGTCCTATTTCGCAATATATTTATAAAAACAATGCTTAACCATGCGTATTTCAAAGCTTTTACTAAACGATTTACTTATGTCTAGCACTTGACTTGAAAGTTCATTACTTTGTTCACTTTGTTGCTATCTTAGTTCAGCTTTAACTTCACATACGTCGTTGTGCAGCTCCCTGATTAAAAGGTATAACTGTTGGTTTTGTGCGAAGAGGTGTTCTTTGACAAGATAATGACTTTGGTAGTTATGGTGATGTTCTTTTAACGACAAAAGGTTTTTTTTTTTTTAAAAAAAAAAAAAAAAAAAATTAAAAAAAAAAAAAACTTTATATACTAATTACCATCTTGATTATATTGTTGATTTTGATTGGATGATCTTCTGTCCAGTGATCTACCTTATGATTCAGAATCAGGTTGGTCACATTGTGACGATAATGAATGATCCCTATGATTATTTGGCAAAGTATGGTGAGAGCGGAAAGGTTGGTGGCCTCTATTATTATTTGGTAAATGTTGGCAGGATTGTGGTTAGCAAGATTGTAAATGATGGCTTGCATTTTGGCGTGATTGATGTTGGGATGTTTGATGTCTACCAGACATTCTTGAAAAGGTACTATGAATGCTAGCAATAGTTTTTGTTAAATCCGAAGAATTATCATCATTATTAGTATAGGGAGGTTGGTGTGGGCTAGTGATATTTGGTAGTGCATTATTAGTATCAGTTTGGGAGCAAGATGTAGAGATAGGAGTAGCAGGGTAAGGAGATGAGTTGTTTTGTTCCATTTCCAAAAAGAATAAAATCTAAAATTTTCTTTACCTTCAAATAATGAAAATCTGCTATATTTATAAATTTGTAAAACCTTTGCAAGTAGATAAACCAAATTAAAATTTAATGATGGCAATCGTAGTAATAAAAAATAACAAAATAAAAGAATACTTATTTCATTTTCTGTTTTGTCATTATACTTATAATGACAACTTGTTGGAATTTATCACGTACATAGTAATGACAATTTGCTGGAATTTATCGCGTATAATAACAATTTGCTAAGATTTATAGTGCATAATGACAATTTGCTGAGATTTAGTTATTCTATATCCACTTATATTTTTTTACTATTGTAACAATATAAATATAATACTCTTTATTGTATATA